CAGAGATAAACAACAACAGTAGCTCTATCAGCTATACTTACCGAAGTTCGTGTACCAAATTGACCTATTGGCTGAAGCAGGTTGATATTGTTGCTGCCTACGTAATCCTGCGCCATACCAATGATGGTACTGGCAAGACTCTGCTCTCCATGGTGATAAGCTGAGTGCTCTGACACATAACCAGAGAATTGGGCAACCTTGGCTTCCTTTGTGAAGTTTCTCTTGAATGAACAGAAAAGTATCTTCCTCTGGCCCGGTTTGAGCCCGTCAACCATTGAAGGAATTGACCTTTGCAGATCCGCCATGGAGAACAAGATAAGTTCTTTGTTGACGAAGTCACTGTACGTAATCTTCTGTTCCTTCTGGTCAAGATGATTGGCAGGCTAATTGAAAACAGAAACATTAGAACAGGCACACATAATAAGCAAAAACCAGATGTCTTTAAAGATATATCAGTTATCATCCATACGTCAAAGTTCAAAAGCCAGCTCTTCCGGGCTTCAATCTTCTTCTTACTAAATGCAAGTTCAATAGCTTCTCCATCTTGTTCATCCTCCCACACAAAATCCTTCTTGTGAAGACCAAGATTACCAAAGTACTCTTTGCCCTCATTAGACGTACTTGTACCCAGCCCCTGGATGGAATGATACAAGGACAATTAGTATGCACAGAGAACATGCGCAGTTTCCAAATGTGCTCTCTTATTACTTTCAAACAGAAAGCAAACCTTATAGTACTTGATCCTCCACCCTGTTGCATTACCATTCAGACTTTCTTTCCAGCCTTCGTACTCAGGCATCGAATAAAATGACAGTACTTTCCCACTCCTGTGCGTAGCCTGAATTCGATATTTTCAGGTCAGTTGTTGACATTCTTTTATCTACTATGTTCACATAATATAAGATATTATGCAAGGATGACGGTACCTTGATAATGGGTGTTATAAACTCAACTAGGAATGAGGGAACCTTGAGTAATGTAGGCCAGAAAGAGTGGATAAAATTGATTAAGAGCCCCTTTATATGGGAACCATCATGATCCTGAACAAAGAGAAGATTTTGTCAAGGAC